TTTGCGAACTTTTTTTTACCGGAAATAAAATACTTTTCATAAAATTTCAGGCAAGATTCGCAATATCGTAAGCGTGGTCGAAATTCGTACATCTTACGAGAAAATCGAAAGAGTTAGCAGGTATGCTACCATCCCTGCGGGAAGTTGTTAAGTGATTGTAGCTGTTGACTACCTGTCGAAATACGTGGAAGTGGAGGACCTATTGCATCCACTTACCAGACCACTTTCCTGAAGCAGCGATTTGAATGGAGGCATGGCTTTCCAAAGAAGTTAATATTTGATCGGGCTACAACGTTTCGTACTGGGGAACTGAAAAAGTACCTTTGCATGGCAGGCGTGAAGCACCCCTTTGCATCCTCGTTTCATCCTCAAGTAAATGGCATTACTGAGCAAACCAACCAGAGTGTCCAGGCAAGACTCGCTCCATATACGAAAGTAGAGAAAAAAGAGGAGGCCACCTTCCGGCAGCCGCTTTTGCAATTGACACGGCACTGCAGGCATCTACCGGGGAAACGCCGTACGAAGTTGTTTATGAAAAACTACCACAGCTGAAATCGGTCCTCAGTCTGGATGCTTCAGTTATAGTCCCACGTTCCGACGATTGCAAATCGGCTTGTCAGAAGTTCCGATTTAGGTGATCAAGAAAGCCACCCACGCACAAGAAAATCAAAAGCGCTACTATGACAGATGCCGTAGGCCTCCTCCTGCTTACAACATCAACGACGAGGTGTAGGTGCAAAGGGGCGCCAGTGGGCCCGCCAAGAAGTTACTCCCAAGGTTCGACGTGCCATTCAAATTACCGAGCGTTTAGGAGAAAATACTTGGCCTGTGAGCACCTCAGATGTGAGCTACATTGTCAATAAACGTAAAAGGAAAAATTTTGCCGTGCATGTGTCGCACTTGAAGAAAGCAGTCGGACAGTTGCAGGTGAAATGAACTGTCATTTATTTTCTTTCTTTGTCAGGTCTGCAGTGTGGCCAAATGCAATGAAATGCAGTGCGGCAGCAGTGGGGCCTGGGCTGGAGAGCGAAGAAGAAGAGGCAGAATTGAACAGCTTGCCTGACAAACAGGTGCTCGTCTCTGTTTCGCGCAGTACAATATCTAATATAGATTAGCACGACCAGCATCGAACCCAATTCAAAACAGATGCAAAGCCACCAATTTTCAGCGGTGCCAGCTCTGCCAAGCAGTCACCTCCAGTGGTCCCGTCCCATCTGATCACGTGGCTACACGAAATGGTGACGTGAGTTTCAGGTGACATTTCATCCGCTTTGGTATAGTCAACTAGACAGGTGTAGTGGGATGAGAGCGGTCCTCCCCGATGAGGCCGTTTGCACAGAAACCACTAGCGGCACCTTTCTTCTGGCGCGCGCCGCAGTGGGAACTTGTTTTCCGCACTTTCGAATGACGAGTGTGATATGTTTAAAGTTGATGCTCTTTTCCTGATAGCCTAAACTATATACTGTGTCAACAAAAAGAGAATAAATAGTTTTGCCTTGAAAGCTACAGGACATGAAATTTTAGAGACAAGCCTGTCAGTGAAAAGTTCTTGAAACTGCATGTGGCTACTATGACAGAATAGATACGACTTTGCACAACCGATGCTGTGCACACCAAAAACAAGAGAGTGGCAGATAAATATGTGAAAGAGCATATCTACCATTTTAATCAACACAAAGACACCCTTCAAAAACTTTATGCACAAACACAAGCTCAGGCCTCTAGGTCGTTCGAGTTGAAGCACAGATGCATGAAGACGCAGACAAAGTAATTCTCGTGTTTCTTTTTTTCCTTGTGAGTCTCGCATTAGAGTTGAAACTGCAAAGGTCAGACAATCAAATTCAACTAACCTGCAGAGCTATAGAAAATCTTTCTAAGCTTATAATTGTGCTCTGCGGGCTATACTCGAAAGCGCGAGTTGCCAGCTCTTGCATTTTCATGAAAACTTCGTGTCTCGCATGAACGAGGCACATTTTCTTCACACATGATGGGGTTTGTTCACTAATGCACGAAGCATGCAATGTGGCGAATGTTTGTTTCTTGCTAATGTGTTAGCACTGAGGCTAGCGCAGTCACGAAACATGCAAAGTGGTTAATGTTTGTTTCTTGCTAATGCGTTAACACTGAGGCTAGCACAATCAAACAAGGGAGCATCTGCCTACTGACCGTCCTTGAGAGGACACTCCTAAATTCCGCTTGGTGGTGTGACAGTCAATAGGTGTTGCAAATAAGGCAGCTTAACTCCAATAAAACTGCCAGGGCATTAATTTCAGAAATACAGTAAACCTGTCCTTGTCAGCCCGTCTGCAGCAAAGTTGTAGGGGGATGGCAGTGTTTTCCTACCGTGTTATGATATATATTATCATTATCTTCCCCTAGTTCCATGCTGATTGTCATGATTAAAGGCCAGATTATAGGCATGTGCCTATTTTTTTCCTTGCGCTCCTATTGTGCCATTTTCATATATGAGCATGAATTAGAGGTTAAGAAGGGCTTTAATGGTGTTTTTTTAGTGCCTATAAGTGCCTATTTTGGGTGTTCGTGCCTAAATGCCTGTAAGTGCCAACAAATGCTTATTTTCCAAACAATTGCCTATATGAGCGCTATTCAAGCCCAAATTTTGTGTTCGAGCGTAGTGTGAAACCGTTATTCCTGTAAAAAAAGACAACATCAATATTTCGGAACACTATAATGTTCAACGAAGACGAAGCTGACATGCTGCGAGCGATTGGAGGAGGAGCATGAAGAGTACAGAAGACGCTATTTCTGCACCGCTAAGTGGAAGCACGTCTCAGCGTCTGCAGGGGAAGGAGGAGATAGAACTAAAGATGAATAAGAAATAAAAGTGACGTCTATGGCCAAGATTGTGGTGACCGCCTTCTACAGATCGGCATTTAAGAGAGAGCAAACATTTGAGCATTTGAGAGATAGCAGATTCAGCATGAGTTTGAATTAAGGAGGGAGGTGGCATTGAAAAAAAGCTGTTTTATTTGTTGACCTACAGCAATGAAATTTGGCATGCATACTCATAAGTGTCTCGAATAGGGAAATATGTAGTTTCATCATGATACCTTCAGTAGTTCTCAAGTTACATAATGCTACATGGTCCACTTACATGGTCTGCTCGTGGAAAGCCTAGCGCTGTAACAAAACATGCCAGGAAGTTGCGAATGGTGTTGATCTTTACTCAAAAGAAAGCTACAGGGTATGACACTCTTGGAATTTTTCAATAAGTTCTCTTTTTTTTTTTAGAGATCATCATGGCTGCCGACACACATTGTCAGAAACAATGGCACGGACAAATCATCGTCTAGAAAAATAACAGGGCCACAAAACAGAAATTGAAGAGTGCTGTACCCACAAGCAGTGTTCAGGGATTCAGGGGAAAAAAACAGAATCAAAATCGGTCCAGTCATTCTCGTGCTACTCTTTCCACGAGCAATGCACAATGTCCAAAACACACTTGTGAGAAAAAGCCTGTCAAAGTTTTCGACAGGCTTTTTTCAATGAACTTTTTTGTTTCTCGTTAGATATTGATGAAAATTGGCACAGACACTAAGAATAACCTCACAGTGCTTCCATAAAAATTTTGAAGCGATACCACGAATACTTTACGAGAAATAAATTATTTCTTCATTGAACCATGTAGAGGGGCTGAGCATAATGTCAAAAAAAAAACAGTATTGAGAAAGCTGCGTTTAAAGTTTCAACTTTTCTTTACGTCTCTAAGACACCTAAAAATTGCGATCTCAGGTTTGTCTTGTGATATTTGACTTCTTTTCATGATTTACTCCTTTTCATGAGTTACAAAGAACAAGTATGGATTTCAAACCAAGTTCTTTGTATGAAGGAGTGGTGTGATAGTACCGTTCAAAGTGCAGGATACTATAATCAGGAGACGGGACATTTTTAATCTGTTTTTCTAGATATAGCTAGCATTTAACGAAGTACTGACGAAAAGCGTATGGTATGCGACGTCAACCCCCCAATTACAACGTAAAGGAGCGGCGTTCCTTGCTGCACGTCACTCCTTAGATATTGGGGTGCATGCCCGCGAGAAGGGCAAGTCATTCATTAGAAATTGGGAGTTCTTCCACAACATGTAATTTTGCAAATCTCTATAGGAATGATCCAGAGAGCCCAGTGCACCATTATACTTGTCAGCTCGAAATTCCCAAACCTAGTGAGGGGCCCTTTAAGGTGTTCACCGATAGGGAAGAAATTAGTCCTACGTGATTAGACCTAGCATTCCCCTCTTCTGGGGTATCAGTGGTCTGGTTACTTGCTTCTGCGCTGCCCTTCCCAGCCACAACAAAACAAAAAAGACCCAGGAGAGCGTTAATTGAATGGTGGAGACTTGACGCACAATGCTAGACAATAAAACGAAAGACCACATACTGCAAATCAGGTGGGAAATGCATGCCTATGTTAAATCATTGGTACCTTTCTGCAGTCTTAAACAACATCATTTTTTTGCTTCTTGCCGTAGATACGAGTCACCTACGTCGTTGCTTTGGGAATCAAGAAAACAACTTTTGTAGAAGTTGATTGTGCCTATAATTTTTATTTTGAGGGCCTAAAACAGTGTTCTACCTGCCTGTATTTGGCATCTAAAACACACTATTTAGTGACTAAAAATCCCTCTAGTCGTGACGGTTGATCTCATTCCCGGTTGCGGCGGCTGCATTTCCGATGGAGGCGGAAATGTTGTAGGCCTGTGTGCTCAGATTTGGGTGCACGTTAAAGAACCCCAGGTGGTCGAAATCTCCAAAGCCCTCCACTACGGCGTCTCTCATAATCATATGGCGGTTTTGGGACGTTAAACCCCACATATCAATCAATCTCATTCACACAAGCAGTATTCAGACATACATGTGCAATAATTAAGAACCAACATAACAAAGCACCTTTCATCATCTAAATTAAGGAGTTCATAGAGCACCAATAAGCACCACCAAACAAATAATCCAACCAGGAAAGACAATGTAAGGGTCACACACCTTTGGGTACCACTGGGTAGCTGAAGCCAATCACATACACGCCTTGCTCTGCGAAGAGAACAAATGCAGCCTTGGTTCATGAGAAAATATCAATGCTTCTTAGAAGCAGTATCAAATATTAGGGAGCACGAAGTAATGGGTGTGACCAGCACGATTCAAGAAAGACAACCAGCATTTTTTCTCTTTAGCACAGTCCATCGCGTGTTTCATAAGGCAGTGGTGCACGCATTGAGAAAAAAAAAGGGGGGGGGTCGCTAAATGAGCCTATACAAACCTGGCTCCAGCATCGCGCTGTGATGTCACTTCAAGAAAACAACTCAAATGAACAGATTACACGTAAGTAATGTCACCTGAATAAAACAACTCAAATAGACAGATTATTACTTTATAAGACGTGTGTTAGACCTACAAAAATATTCAACACAAAGTTCTTGACGAGTTTAATAATGTTCAGGCGTGAGCAAAAGTGTGCAGACTGCAGGATTGCGTGGCAAAATGCATCAACACACCATCTGCCGATGTGGCGCTTGCTGTGATGCGCATGCGTATCCCATAGTGTCAGGTGGTCTCTCACGTCGCTCGGTCTGACGAGGTAAGGGCACTCGCAGCCAAACGACAACTGGGTGTCGCTTTTTGTGCTCCATTAATTCATGTGACATTTTTTAACATAGTGGCATGGCAGGCCGGTTCAAGCACCAGGCTCATGTGGTCTTTTTAAACCAGTTAATTAGCCTAACCAAACATATACATAATCGTATAGCTTAATGAAGCCAAGTATTGAAGTTTTCTCAGCCTAGCTTAGCTTTGTCGCATTATGCCAAGGTAAACATCAAGTGTAGAGCAAACTAATCATTCCTACTTGAATGGTATCACCTTTTGCTTTAGTATGGTATGGCCTTCTTTATCGCAGGAATTGCGTGTCTGACGGTTGAAAGTGGTTACTGGTCATACCTCGCCACCTTTGTGCTACGCTATGTTCAGCTTTCCACACTGACCCTGTGTGCACACAAGCGGGCACCTTCAAAACATATGCTCAGCTTTCCTCCCAGTTTTATTGGCGAGGCATGTACACCTTTGTGCGCAAGTACATTCAGTCATGCTTGCAGAGCCAACGATGCAAAGCTCTCCCTCAGCACGCGTCTGGTTCGATCCAGCCAATCCCATCCCTAGCTAGGCCTTTCGACCGCCTTGGAACTGATCTGTATGGTCCTCTTCCATTCATGGCTTTCGGAAACAGTAGGATCGTTGTCGCTGTCGACTACTTGATGCGATACGCATATACAGCCGCTCTGCCTGCTGCCACAGCAAGCAATGTATCATGTTTCCTCCTGTAGAACTTCCTTCTCCATCACGGCACACCACGTGAACTTCTCAGCGACAGAGGACGTGTGTTGCCCTCCGAAGTCATCAGCCCACTCCTTGCCGAATGCCGTATCAATCACCGGACTACCTCTGCCTACCATCCCCAAAATGCTTGACGAAAACTCAATTCCACCCTTGGTTACATGATATCTAAGAATGTTGCCTCAGACCACTCTGATTGGGACCTCATTCAGCCTTTTGTGATGTACGTATACAACACTGCTCCATAGGCGACTACGGGTTTTTTGCCATTTCTCCTCTTATATGGCTGAGACCCTTCCACAACCACACTAGATACCATTCTGCCCTACCACCCCGATTCCTTCGAGTCTATGGCCATCTCTGAAGCTGCCCGCCGCACCGAGAAATGGTGTAAGCTCGCCCAGTCGTTCACAAACATTGACCAATGGAGACAAAAATGTCCGCGTGATGATGACCACCCACGTCCTAACTTTGTTACAGACACCCTTGTGTGATTTTGGGTTTTAGCTGTACCTTCTGGCCTTTGCTAGAAGCTTGTTTCAAAATACCAGAGACCCTACTGCGTTGCCTCGCAGACTTCACCTGTCAACTACATCGTAAAAGTTATTATGCCATCCACAGACCAGTGCTTTTGGGGTCGTGAAACCATTCACGTACAGCGTTTGAAAACCATATTACGATTCGCTCATACTCTGTTTTTTGCGAGTCGCCAGGATGGCTCCTTTTTCGACGGGGGACGAATTGTAGTGAAGAGGAATGCCCCCTATTGCAGCCACATCGACGCGTTGGCGCAAGGCGCGAGCTAGAACTGCTACTGCCTGGTTACTGCTACGACGCTGCCCGTATACCCGGCCAGCTCCTGCTGCTACTGTCCCAACGCTGCTACCGCTTTGCGCCCTGTGGTTACATTATAGCCCCATCAGTAATAAATGGGTGCTGTCGACACACACAGCAATCGTTGCATGCGACGCAGCGCGCCTTCAGCACTCAGTGTTTGCAGCGTCGCCACAACTGTCAATGTGGAAGGCATCAGGTGACGAGGCGTGGTCATGCTACTCATCAATTCTAGTACACTCTAACACTACCGCAGGGCAGTGCTGCTACCTGTGGCCTGATCTTGCCACAAATTTATTGATATTTTATGCTACATAAGTGTGCTTCATATATGTAGACTCAAACATCGTTATAACGTAAAGGAATATAATGAAATAATGGCTATAACGAAGCAAATAAAATTCCCCTTGACAGCTCCATTGAGAACCATGCATTTAATACCTCGTTGTAACGAAGTAAAATTGACCGGTAAATGGATATAACGAAATAGTTAATAAAAAAAAAACCTTAGTGTGTCAAGTATATTGTTTTCTGCAAAGTTTGATGCTCGTTTGGCGCTTCTCTTTCATAACTACCGCGCCGACCTTACAGACACACCACGTGCGGTAAGAGAGAGCTGTCCTCACACAGCCAGCGGAGAGGATTGAGAAAGCCCTCAGTGGGCCACATGACTGAGAAGCGGTGCCGCGGTGCATAGCGATTTCCCTCCGCACCTAAAAGGCGATGGCAACGACTGCGTCTCCGCTGCTACCCTCTGCACCGAGAAAGGAGGACTCTCCGCGACAGCTTTCTTTTTTTTTCCACTCTCTCCGCGCGCGGCCTTGAAAGAAGAAGGGTCTCTACGTGCAGAGACTGAAAAGGGAGAAGCGTGGCACAGGCGTGTCGCAGATCAGCATTTGGGAGAAAGCAAACAATCTGCCACAGTCTTTGCTTTTCTTTTCTTCTTTTCCTTCTTCGCGCGTAGCGTTGAGAGGTGCCGCCGCAAAATTGAGCATGGTGCTGAGAGCATTTTCGGAGCCTGGTATGTTCGAACTAACCGTCACAAGTGCTTGCGCGTTTGAATTACAGGACGTTTTCGCCCATTGGAATACACATAGCTTTGACGGGACCTCAGCGTGAGTTCAAATTAACCGGAAGTTCGAATTAATGAGGTTCAACTGTCTTTATTTTCTATCGCACGCGTGGTCTCGTAGCGGTGCATCGAGCCGCGAGGCGGTTTCCTTCTTTGCATGCTTATAGGTGTGCGACCATCTGAGCATACATTGCCACAAACTTTTATAATCGATATAACGAAATAATTGTGATTCGCCTTCAACTTCGTTATAACGAGGTTTGAGTGTATTGTTATTTCATGAATATCCTCCCTGTAATGACAAACAAATTAGCGTTAACAGTATGTTCAAATAAAATAGTGTCAGCTGCCACGTAGTAAAGGTGAGCAACACTGGGCAAGGCAACTGCTACGCCGGAAGGCCAGTTTTAGATAGATATGTGGGGTTTAACGTCCCAAAACCGCCATATGATTATGAGAGACGCTGTAGTGGAGGGCTCCGGAAATTTCGACCACCTGGGGTTCTTTAACGTGCACCCAAATCTGAGCACACAGGCCTACAAAATTTCCGCCTCCATCGGAAATGCAGCTGCCGCAGCCGGGATTTGAACCCGCAACCTGCGGGTCAGCAGCCGAGTGCCTTAGCCACTAGACCACCGCGGCGGGGGACGGAGGCCAGTTTTCAGGCAAATGACTTGACAAGCACAAAAGCTGTGCAGACCACTAAAACATGAATTTACTTAAAAATAAGCATTTCCTTGGAACAAAAGTAGCACTACAAGGTTTTTGGACCGCTACTTCAGCAATCAACGTCGACTTAATATTTGCCTTTAGTGTTCATTCAAGCCTACAGCACCCACAGAGGACAATTAATAAACGTCAGTTTTACTTATTGCTGACTACGCAGGATTTAGTGGAGGCCATCAAAATCTACAACGTCCTGATATTTGAAGCAAAAATTTTAAGGTAGCACCACCACCCACATTTTTTTTTTAGGGGCGTAGCTCCTCAGTACATAGCCTTGTTTTCTGTTGTGATCACAGCACAGAACCGTTGCTATAGTCGAAACGTGTCACACACACACACGCACAAATGAAGGTTTTAGAATAGACTAACAACATATAGGCTGATTTTAAGGTAGCTGTTCTTGGCGAAAATAACCCATCGAGAAGAGTATTCAAGAGTTTATCTTTCGAGGAAACCTGAAACAGAAAGGCACACGTCGAGCACTATATGTGTGCACTTCCTTGAGCTGCCTAAGGTGACTGGAAGGCAAAATAAATTGTACATTTCTATATACACGTTATGTGACTCAACTGACATTACCGTATTTACTCGCGTAATGAACGCACTTTTTTTCTTGAAAAAGTTGGGGGGTGAGTTCATTACGCAGGATAAATTTTATGAAAGCTTTTTTGGGGAAAAGCAAAAGATGTCATAATGCGAAAAAAAGAAGTCAGGTCACTTAGCCTTTCGCACTTGACATACACGTACACTGTTTGGAAATAGCTTTTTCGCTGCACTTTACTTGTCTTCAGTGGTTCATAGCGCTATTTTCTGCAAGCTGTCCCCGAGCTCCCCACGCATGCCATAAAAGAGTTTTGTGGCTATCTTTTATCGTTTAACCGCAACAGTGGTAGCTGCTGTGATCCCGAGGAGTGCCCAAAAGCGTGCGCTACGACACACTTTGCCAACTTCGCGGCAACCTCGCACGATGATCGTGACGACGCCGTTAACATTTGTGGGGGTGCTGATACTATCTGTAAAGTTGTTTGCGCCATGTGGCACTCGTGTCTTGCCTCAAAGCCGAATTTCGGGT